TGAAAAGGAAAAGGGCATGGGAAGAGATAGGGAATGGAGCGGAGGTACTGCATCCACAAACGCCCCCCCCAGCTCTCACTCCTGCCCCAGGTGAGAATGCAAGCTGGATGGACTCAGAGTCTGAATTGGCTCTATAAATCAATGAGGAATAGAAGATATAAAAGACTCTGCCACTCTGCAGAGCACAGAATAATAAGAGGGTTCTAAAGCTGAAGTTCTCTGCACTCTAACTCAGTTGCGTTTCTTTAGCAACAGGTGTATCCCATTTTCAGACTTCAAGACGATCTGGGGCACTGGAATAGGAAGCTTTGCTGGATCTGGCATGATTTCAAACCGGAGCAGGATTTGAGCAAGAGCCACCTTCATCTCGTTCATGGCAAACTGTTGTCCAATGCAGTTCCTGAGAGAAGACAGAATGAGCCAAGAGAGGTTTTAGAATCATGTTTACACTTAAAGAGATTGCAATTGCCTCTTATTACAGTTTAGAAACTGATATGTCCCCAGCAGCATACCAATAACATTAGATCATGTTACGGGATATTCTGGACTTGAGCTACAGGTAAGGAGAGGAAGGGAAGAAGGGAGAGTTCACACACAAGAATACTGTCAAAAGATAAGGTAGATTAATTCATTTTATCTCCAGCAGCTGTCGCATTACAGTATTTGTATCCTTAGAGATTCTTCTGATAAGCCTGTTTTATCTAGAAGGCACTGATGTGAGGAGCACCATGTAACTTTTTTCACCGCATGTCATATTAAGGTGTTTGCTTGGCAGAACAAGTGTCTGAGGTATATACCATCTTACTGATTCCCCTGCTCCACCGAATATCCAGGTTCTTTTTAAAGTAAGTAGGTGGCATAAATACCATGTCTATAAGGAAGATAAGGGACTCATGGCTTCCTTTTTGTGTTTGGTGTTCTGAAAGCAGCACAGCAGCATCCTCAACATAGGACCCACACAGGGGCATCCTCAGCTGGGAATGAGGACCCTCTGAGTATCGCCCAGAGCTGAAACCACCAAACTGCAAATTCTGCACCCACTGGCACAACATTCAAACTCACCTCTTTTTAATTTTCAGAATACAAATTGATCTCTATATTAGTATTTTCATAGAAGAAGCAAATTAGAGGACACCTGTGTGGGATTTTTGCTTTACTTGGGTGAAGACACATCCCTCTGGCCACGTTTACACAACATGAATCTGGAAAACTCCATGCCAAAACATGACACGTCCTGGTAGTGTATCTCATTCTCTTTTTTTTCTTGCCATTTACCATGCAAATTGACATCATGCAGGGTTGATGTATTTTGAATAAGTGTAGGTGGCCCCTCTGTAGTCCAATGCAGAAAGGCCTCTCTGTGCTGGTAAGCAGTGCTGAAACAGACCAGTCCTAAAAGTAAGTGTTTTCAGCTCTTGGAGACATCAGCTTTGATTCCTCACAGTCTCTCTTTTGCTCTAGGCTGGCTACTCAGAATGCATTTGTGCACTTGATCTTTCAGAGTCTGATGCAAGCTCTAAAATGTTTGATCCAAACTTTTCCCTACTGTACCCATTAGACCAGCGTGGGCATCTTCCTAGTGCTTTGGTCTACAATTCCCATCTCCTCTAGCCAGCCTATCTAATGGAGGGATGATGGCATTTGTAGGCCGAAACATGCCCAGTCACACGTTGCCTGTTTCTGCTTTGGATCTACATATGGCAGTGTCGCCATGGCCATAAGCCTATTTTCCCTTTGCTAATCAGCCATCTCTCACCTGCTTCCAGTCCGCTCTGCATGGAGACACCTCACCTTACCTTCTTCATGCTGCGAGATGTAATTATGCACAGAACTGATGCACTGCAGGCCTACCTTGGTCCAGCTGCAAAAGGCACAAAGGCATGCGAATGCCTCTGAGGGGACTTCTCTGGCGAGAACCTTGTGGGATCAAATACCTAGAGTCAGGGAACACAGGTATCTTTGTCAGCCTCTCTAGCTGTCAAATTGCAGTATTGTGTTTTGTGTTTTAAAAACTCTTAACATGGTCTTGGACAACATAGACCTTTAAGCCACATGTCTTTAAGTAATTTCAGTGTTACATGGCAGTCTTTCTTCTCGATGGAGAGCTGTTGACGGTTTCCATCAAGTGGCTGAAGCCATGTGCATAACTCATAATCCATCCAGAGGCAAAGCTCACTTTCGCACACATGATTACTGATTTCTAAACTAATTAGAGCAAAATATGTCTTGTTTTAAAATGCCAGTATTTATGTGTGTGCATTTCAAGAGATATTTTTAAGGGCCTTTTTTTATTTCTAGATCGGAATGTTAATGAACTCCAGAATAAAAATGTTACAGACTTGGAGCCAAATTTCATATGGCTCTCAGTTTCGTATAATTTAATTCTTCTGTCCTTGAACTGCTCTTTCTGCCTTAACATTTTACCAATCATCTTGAAATTTTCAGGGTAAACAAAGTGATTTTTAATATAAATTATTTAATGTGAAATTTGAAAAGTTATAACAAAACATAAATCAAGAGAGTCGCCTCCCAACTCTTTTGGGCCACAGCCTTTGGCACCTATCACTACAATTTGCACTGAGTTCCTCTCATCATTGCTTAATTATGCTTATACTTGAGAGGAAAGAACTAAGAACATCCTCCTTCTGACATAGTAGTCTTTTACTTTATTACTGTAAGAAGAACCCTGTTGGATCAGACTAAAAGCCCAGCTAGTCAAACATACTATTTACTTTGTAGGCATGTCATGAGCAGAGCCAGCTGGAGCCAGGGGCCAGACTAGATGGCCCTGGAACCCTCTTCTGACTCACTCTGCTTCTATGTTTCCATGTTACCACAGTGTCCAGAAAAGTGATGAGCAGGGCTTGTGGGTTGTTCTTCAGCAGCAAGCAATGGAATTTAGGGACATGTTTAGTTTGACCTTAAGTGCTACATACCCACAGTGTCGAGATAATGTAATTTCTGCACTGTGGAATGCACTTCAGCTTTCATTACAATATGCAGATCAGCTGCAATCCACTGGCTTGAATATGTTTTCAAACTATCTGTGACTTGCATCTACTTACAAATTACCTCTGGGTTGTGCCACATGGCTGGGTTTCGGTGGATACAATAAATGTGAATTGATACTATTGCCCCTGAAAAATAAAGTGATGGAATTTAAAGATCCAGAAATATATTATTTCCACTCATCTGAGAAAAAATTAGACAGCAAAATTGAAGGGAAAATTCAAAGATAAGCTTTTCTTCTACAGGTTTGATGCATTGCCATTATCTCTTCTGATTTTACACATGTGAACATGCATTCTCGGTCTGTCTGTCTGTTATAATTTTCATACGAGAATCATTGTATAAAGGGTCCACTGAAACAAAGACTCAACACTTAAGTCTCATTGATTTCAGTGGAAACAGCAGTGCTTAACTTTTGCTGGATTACGAATCAAAAGATTGACCATGACCCACAAAAAGGGTTAATCTGAACTAACCTTCAGGCATGGTGCGCCCATCACAAAAAGTTATGGGTTTGCTAAGCTGCCGGGACACTGTAGGAACTGGGGGGTAAAGACGCAGACTCTCTTTAACACACATGGTCGTGTAAGGAATCTTTCCAAGGTCATGCCTGAAAGAATTGAATTAAACCATGTTTAAACAACTCCTGTCTCCTCAGCAAGTACAATCATCTGCCCGCAAAATAGGCTGTAATATGAAATATCAGCAGATGTAATACACATTGGTTATTTTTCTTTATGACATAAGATCTAAGACCTGTTCAAGCATTTGATACCTATAGGCACTAAATGTGCAAGATAGTCCTAATAATGCATGGAATAGCTTTTGTCCCTGCATGTTCAGTTTCAATCCAAGGGGGAGAACCTGGGTTCTGGGGTGAGGACCTACACATTAGAGCAAATCCATTCCTATTCCCAAATATGGATGATCAGCCCGCACCAATGGGTAATTTCTCCCTTCTCTTCCACAATTAAACCACACCCCTTTTTATCTTATGCCTTTTCCTCTAAAATCATTGAGAAGGGTCATTTGACTGTGAGTCAAAACAGATCAACACTAGCAGAAAATGAAACAAGAATGCATAGTATTTTACCAACAGAAAAATAAAATATTATTTTAAGGATGTTGCTAATACTTTTAATCAGGCTTCTTCAATGTCCATGAGTTGATAGAATTCCATTTCCTATCATTAATCAAACATAAACCAATTGCCTTATCAAACTCCACCCCAATTAACTCACAGGCCTAACAATCAGGCCTTGAATGGCAATCTTCTCTCTGGTTGGGTTTGACTTTGACCTGGAATCTTCAGTGCTGTTTCCCAAGCTTCTCCTGAAGTCTTCCGTTTGGTCCGGCAGTTGCTCTGGCCATTCCAGAGGCTTCTGTTCTGTCCTATGAAGTCTATTGCAGGAATCCTCTGTCCACCTGAAGACCTTCTCATGCCTTTGCCTCACAAGCTTTCAGCTCTAACAGCTGCTGTTCCTCTTGGCTGAAGTCCTCTTCAGGCTTCCAGCCTCTCATCATGACCGATCATCACACAACTCTGTTGCCTCCTTTCTCCTGAGCAACTTGGACGTGCATTGATAGACTCTCCAAGCTCCTTATATCCATTCTAGTCAGGTCCCTCCAGCCAACCAGCTTTGAAGAGAGGGACAACCGTCTACTATCCCACTCCTGTGAAAATTTTTGTACCATGGATTTCTGACGTCATTGTCACCTCCTAGTGGTACAGTAAGTGCCAAGTTAAGTGGAAGTAAGCATACTTATGATGTGCTCTGTAAGAGTAAGCTGTCAGGCTTCCCTGTTAATATGTATATGAGGGAAGGAAAAAAAGTGAAACGATAGAAAAGTTTCTATGATTGCCCTGTCCAAATCATATTCCAGTTATACAGTTAGAAATCTAGAATTAGAAAGTAGGCATTACCACCTGGAACTTTATTATTTTTTCATATAGTGGCTGGAATTGCGGCATTCATCTGGGGCACCCTTCCAGCCACATTTCATCTGGGATCTCCTTTAGTTGCACCAAGTAGTCTGGCAGAAAAGCTTTAGCCACATCCTTGCTAGTTCCCACCTTCTGAAATTAAACGCTGACATTGATTATCCTTTTCCCTGGGCAGCCTCTGTGAAGGAGAGGCTCACTAGTCAAATGCTTCATGGCCACCTAATTTAACAGCATAAAAATCACTCCAATTGGGTCATCCATTTTCACATATCTTTGTCCAATGCGAGAAGCTACTCTGAATCCCTAAGTTACTCTGTTCTGATAAATAGCTTGATATAGATAAACCTATAGGATTTGCCATATGTTATTTTGCATATTCGCATTTGGGCTAAACTCTAATCCTAATTACACCCTCAAAGTCATTTTATCCCTTTTATGCTGCCTAGACCATTTGGACCATGCTTTAAGGATTGTGTTATGGGTGAAGGAAAGGGAAAACATGCTATTGGTTTGGCCAGCACACACTGAGAACTTCACGAGTTGTCTTCTTGCTCCAAAACAGGAGACTCCTTCATCCCCCACCTCCTGCCACTCAATATTAGTTAACTAGAGGGAGAGTGGTGATGGAAAGAGAATAAAAGAGGCAGATGGTGCTTTGATGGGTTTCATGCTGGTGTGGTCGTTATCCATCTCAACCAGCTTCTTCCCCTTTCAAATATCCCTTAAAATTAAAGAAAAAGTAGTTGCACGGACACTAACTTAAACCTCTTACCACTGAATGGTGTCTCTATCCCCCAGAACCTCCATGATCTCCTCTCTGCACCTTTGCTGGTGTTCTGGATTCTGGGCCATTGCATATAAGATCCAGGCAATCCCACTGGCAGTGGTATCATGGCCTTCAAACATGAATGTGTCCACCTCAGCACGGAGGTCGTCATCCGATAACCCCATTCCATGTTCATCCTGATAAAGTAAGGTGATTAGCTGTTACATGAATCAGTGGGAGGCACATGGGAGGCAGGGGGCAGCTTGCTGCAGCAGGCCTTGAAGCAAAGCCGTTCATTTTCCCAGCAGTCCCAATGCCTCCCCCTCAGTCCCAGGATACAAAGTGTCCAGGCCAGAACCTTTTGGGCGAGGAAAGGCTTGTTATGAAATTTTAAATCACAACCAACTGAATCAAAAGCCTCCTGGATTGCTGGAAATCCCCTCTAGTGCAGGCGTATCACAGCACCACTTTCTGGTTGCTTAATACAATAGGCATTAAAAAGGCAGAGAATACAAATCCCGGAAGAAAGACAAAGCCCAGAAGACAATTAAAATAAAGGGCACCTTTTTGTCTGGAAAAAAACAGAAGAAACAACCTCAATAAAACAGTGCAATAAATTCTTCATGTATGGAAACCCTCCATGATGGAAAGGCACAATTTTATGAAGGTGCATTCCACTGAAGATTGGTACCTAAATTATTCATTATCATTTTGAGAAAGTAGCTCCTACTTGAGTCTGTGATCTGAGACCAAGAGCAAGAGAAAAAGTATATAATTTCACATGGATACATCTTTTAATCCAAAGAAAGAGTAATTATATTGCTGAATAACTGTCTTATGATAGCACATAGTAAAAGGTGCCCACTGTATTAAGCTTGAAGCTTCTTACCCTGGCACAAAGAAGAATATCCAGAAAATCCAAGTATCGTTTCTTTTGAATTTTTTCAAGCTCTGCTTCCTGCTTGAATACTTTCTTTCTTTCTTCTATTACCTTTTCTGTGATGAATATTAGATAAAATCAGTCATTGTAGCATTAGAAATCTTTAAGGACAATTCTTGCCATCTCATCAACTAGATGAAGCAGCTACATTCTTCAGCATAAATTAGGAATATGGCAATGGTCTTGGGTGGCAACTCAGGGCCTTTGCCAAAGCTGCCAGATGGTGCATTGCATTGGAATCTCCTGGCCCTGTTACTCTTCCTCTTTGCTGTTGCTTCCTGTTCAGCTCTGAGGGAGCAAAGTAAGGCTGAGACTGAACGGAAGAGAAGAAGGAAAAGCAATCTCCATGCATGTTTGTTTGTTTGTTTAAAGTTTTTGTATGCTGTCCCCTTGCTATAGAGCCTCAGGACGGCTCACAGAAATAAATAAATATAATACAAATACAGTTAAAAACCGGAAACACCCTGGCTACACAATTAAAATGTATAAAAATTAAACGTTGTTAAAATATTGTTTGAATAAAAAGGTCTTAGCCTGGCGCCGAAAAACAAATAACGAGGGTGCCAGATGGCCCTCTCTGGGGGGTGCATTCCAAAGATGGGGCGCCACCGCAGAGAAAGCCCTCCTCCAGGTACTGTGCCTCCTGATGTCTCTCACGGAGGGCTCCTGGAGAAGAGCCTCTGCTGCCAATCTCAAGGGGCGGGAGGGCAAATATGGGTGTTCTTGTCTTTTACTGACAGTGGGATAGAGGCAAATATATGGGCAACAGTAGCACCAAGAAAGACAGATTAGATCCCAGATTGGTTTTATTTCATATGCTTGTTTTAGTTTAAATTTTAACTATTGTTGGTTTCAAAGACTTGTAAACTGCTCAGAGCCTATGGAAATGGAGTGGAATATAAAAATCTAAAGAAATAAATAGATTAGGTGGGCACACTCTGGAAATGAAACTGGAATGACCCATTTACTATATTTACCTACCAATTGGGAACTTCTGGAATTTCTGATAGGATGGCAATGATCAAGAAATGTGATCAAGAAACTGGACTTCAAACCCAGCCAAATATTTAGGGATAAACATCACAGGACATAGTGACACACTTTTCCAAGACCATTACCAAACAACTTGGATGAAGATCAAAAGGACTTACAAAAATGGACTAAACTAAAAGTATATTTGGTTAGGAAGAATTTCAATTATTAAAGCAGATGTGTTGCCTAAACTGAACTTTCTTTTCCATATGATACTGATTGAAATACCAGAAAAAGTTTTTCAAGAACAAATTGGCAGAAACAATTTTTTAAATTTGTTTTATACCAATTTTTTTTTATATTTTTATAAAATTTTGTAAAAATAAAAATAAAATGAAAAGTTTTATTTGGTATGGCAACAAAAAGAGGATTACATTTAAAATTCTTCAGGATGCAAAGGAGAGAGGAGGTCTTGCTGTACCTATTTGAAGTTATAGTATTATGCAGCAGGCCTGGTCTATATTGCCAATTGTATTTTAAATGCTAATGACAGGCAAGTGAAGCAGGAATTAGCTGATCTGAAAGATAGAATACATAATCTTTTGTGGGCTGAAATGTCAGTTAAGAAGGCTCTAATCTCAAGTGACAACCATTTGGTAAGAGATATTTTAATAAAAAAATAGTATTCCATGAGGAAAAAAATAGTCCTCCAATTCCACCCCCACCCCCACCGTCCCCAGCTGAAGCATATGGAAAACACTCAAAGAGAAATAGCAATCTTATAACTTATCAAGATGTTATTGATCAATCAGGATGAGTGAAATCTTGGCAAGAACTGAAGAATGATGGGGAAAACATACAGTGGGTTGTTTATCATCAACTGATTTCAAGACTGAAAGGGGAAATACAACCAGGAGTAGAAGGCACCTTAAGAGATCTCACAGTTTTTGAAAAATTGATTATACAGCAGAATGATTGGGGAGACTATATAAACTGTTACTACACCCCATTGTGCAGATTCAAACCAGCACAGCAGGACAGCAGTTTAAACCACTGTGCCACCTGCATCCCTTTATCAGTGGTACATTACTCCAAAAGATATTGGAAGCATAGATAAGAATTATAATGGAAAATGTTGGAAAAGTAACAGGGTGGATGGGACTTTCTATCATGCATGGTAGACTTGCAAAATAACACAAAAATTTTGAAAATTGATACATGCAGAAATGCAGAAAATCTTTAAAATTAAGTTTCCTATGAGTCCTAAGAACACACTTTTGAATATCATGCCATAGACCCTTTTAAGAAACATGTTAGAATTATTTAAGTATATGATTATGACAATGGCAGCAAGAATCGCAATAGCTTCTGAATGGATAGCACCACAGCACCCAACCATTGAAGAATGGAGAAATAGATTAGCAGAATATGCAATGATGGCAAAGCTAACTATGTAAATAGAAGACCGTTAGAAGAATGTAATGATAAATGGAAATTTTATTGTGCTCAGCATGACTAATGGAAGTTTGGGGAAGTTTGGAAAAGAAAAATGAAAGCAGTAGAATTTGAGCTGATTAGAAAACCTGCTGTTGTGTAGATTAATGATTTCTTTTTTGTAAACTATCATAGAGCATGGGAAGATAGGAAGAGAGTTAATTTTGGGAGTCGCAATGCATAGGCAGTATTTGTTTAAAATTCCCTTGACCACTTTGTCTGTTTTATTTTAGTCTGTTCTGTTTATATTAGTTTTTTTCTATTCTACATTTCCTCCTATGTATTTTTATATGTTAAAAATAGAAAGAAGGAAGGAAGGCGGAAAGAAGAAAACTAGACTGTACGCAACCATTTACTTGCTCAATAAGACTTCCAAAACCGCAGCTCTCTGTGCTGTTAATAAACCAATAAACCGGGGCCTTCAAAAACTGTTTCTGACACAATGAGAAAAGCTAATCTTGGAGGTGGGGGAGAAGAGGAGGGGAGATATCCCATTGCCTACACTGAATAGGTTTGCTAGATTGCAACAACTAAAATTAAATATGGACAGAAAAAAATAGTCACTTTTTTAAAGTTGTGCAGCTCTGATTTGAATGACACAAATCAAGTTTATTAAACTTGGTCAAATGGTTATTATTTCCAATCTTAAGTCACATCGTCATTTAGGAACGGCAAATGTGATGTTGCCCAAACCTCTTGTACTCATCCTTCTGTAATGCACTAATCAAGTGACAAAAAACTTATTTCAGTGATTCACATGGTGCTCTGACTTATGTGCCAATCTGCAAACTTCTAGGAATGATCCCTGCAAATTGTGCTGCTAAATCAATCGGTTTGTGTGTATGTGTGTGTATGCACACACATATGTATATGCATATACATAGAATGTTCACAAGAGCTTAGAGTCAGAAGGAAATTATAGATATGTGCTTTGCCTACTACGGTTACTTGCCCCTGTCTCATTACTATAACAGGTTGAATCTAGTTCTGATTGATGAAGAGAAGCTGATGCCAAAGAAAGGCCATTTTTACAGCTTCCCTTCCCTCTGCAGTCTCGTGTATTCCCTGACGATCTTAACTAGGAGGTTGGAAGAGTCCAGGGCAATATGAGAGACAGCATGGGAGGCTGCAGGGGGAATTACTAAAAACTCTGTGTCCTCCTTCCTCCAATGAGGAGAGGCTTCCACTGGGTCTCAGCTGCTTCTCTTCAGAACACATTCAATCTGGATCCAACCCAATAATTTTACTACACAGGTCATTTCTCCCTCTCTCTCTCTCTCTCTCTCTCTCTCGCACACTCACTCACTCACTCACTCACTCACTCACTCACTCACAAATACTATAGGCTAACATGGTAACTTCCTTTGATTTTTTTTTCACAGAGGGCTAGAGAACAAATATTGCAAACTGGCTTCAATTATCCTATCAGTGAAGTGGCTGAAATGTATGTCTTTGTGGTAATAGAAACCATGTCAGATATTGCCTGTATGTTGGTGTGCCAGTCTGCAGGCTTCCAGGAAACGCTGTCCAGCTGAAGTGCATCGAAACATTAGATTGTTCCAATAGAAGATGTTACGGACTCTCTTACTTATTAGATAGGTCAGGTCATAAACAGCTTTGATGTAATTATCTAAATCTCTGAAAGAAAAGGCAAGGAGATTATTGTTACTGTTGCTATTGCTATTGCTTTTATGCCATAGTTAAACAAAGTTCTTTGGACAATGTAAACCTGTGAGACTGGGGCCTGTGCTGGGAACCAAATGCACATTTCATGATGCTGTCCAGAGTCATCAGGCTGACGTGTTCAAACATCTCCAGAGACTTGGTAGTATCCTTCTCCAACAACTTCTCCCATTTATCCTAGCACAGAAAACAATGGAGATTTCATATCCTTGAGGCAAACTAGCACAGTTGAAGGGAATAGCTATCACATCAGGTGTCAGAGTTCTTTTATCATTCAACACTTCCATCTGCTCCGCTTTATAATTACAACTGTGAATCACACACATTTGCTCAGAGTATGTGGCAAGAGAGGTTGGATGAGACAAGTAGTGGCCACTTGCTTTATATTTTCCTCTCAGTCCAGATAGAAAAGGCAAGTTATATTCCATTACTTTGAGCAGTTTTGCCCAACCCGGTGCACTTCAGAAGTGCACTATCTAGGAATGATGGGGTTTTTAGTCAAACAAATCTGGAGAGCTGACTCTGACATTCCTTTCAAGTTGGGTTTAAGTACAGTGGTGCCTTGTACTACGAAAGACTCTTAAGTTCGAACATTCCAGAGTTCAAATGCTAAATCGAGATAAAATTGTTCCGAAGTGTGAACGAGGCTTCTACATCCCAACTGCATGCACAGTGAAAAAATATGGTCACTGTGGAAATGTCATCTGTTGTGTGCCCAAGCTTTTGATCATTTTCAGTACCTTTTCAGTGTGTGCCTTTTCAATCATTTTCAGTGCCTTTTCAGGGTCTGCAAATGGATTAATTCAGTTTCCATTATTTCTAATGGGGGAAATTGATTCAGACTTCGAATGATTTGGAGTTGAACAGCCTCCTGAAATGAATTAAGTTTGAAGTACGAGGCATCGCTGTACTAGGAGACTGCAAACATTTACCAATGCCTCATTCAATTTTATACCTTTTCCCTCCACCACAAAATCAGAGAAATAACAATAGTAGCAGGAACATCAGCATTGCTACTACCTACCAACATTACTTTGGTTGACTCTGCAATCAGTGCTACATAAGGTTTCAAGATGTCGTAGTGAAACCCTGGGGTTAACAGTCGGCGGTGCTGAAACCACTTTGGACCATGCAGGACCAGGAGCCCTTCTCCTGCAGACACAAAAAGGATGAATTGCCTATTTCATATCTCACTCAAAGGGACACAGAATTTCGGTGGTGGAACCTCTTCCGAATACAAGCACCTGTTTATACATATGTGCATCTTGAGAATAGATTACACTGCCATGGGAAACAGATCACTACGAAAGAATGGTGCAGGCACAAGTATCTGGAGAAATAAAGAGGCAAGCAAAAAATTAAAGTGGGGACTGAATGTTGTTCATAGTTTTGTAATCAATAGAAACTATTAAGGAGCAGAATAAGAAATTAATGGGATTCTTGCTTTGTGCCACATAGTACATGTTCCTGCTGTTGTGCATGAGTGTGTGAGAGAGGGAACACTGCCTACAATGTACCTACCACAACAACCTATGATCGGCCCATCCATAGGTTTCTGACGACACTCCAATCCTGAGTGTCAAACGACTCAAGCCATAGGTTGCCAGGGTGCCTTACTGCTGAAAAATAAGCCACCCTGGAGGAAGTATTCCATGTTTTCACAACATGATAACCCGTCATGGCTTGTTACCTCCAATGGATTGTCAAGTTGTGCAAACCCAGACATTGTTTTCCATTTATCTGTCTTTTTAATACTAAGAACCTCCAAATTCCATATCTGATTTGTTGCACCAATTAAAAATTCCTACACTACCATTCAACTTAGAGCCCTCAGTACACCCTCAAAACGAGAGTTCTGAAAAGTTCTAGAATTCCATGTGGAACTGTGAATTATTGACCTTGGATTAACAAAACAAGCTTCAGTGAATGTTATTCAAATTTCAAACACATTATTTAACTGTGAGGAATGCTCACCCCAACACATAGACCATCAAGCGAGGATTACTGAAAGTGTGCCTTGGCTTAGCTCTGATTGACTGATGTTGAACTATGCTAGGGAGATACACCAAACTGACATGAAAAATTTCAGACTAGGCTTTGATTCTGCTATCACATTTCCACATCCATGAGATTTTACAACATGTCCAGACAAAAGCATCTTCGGTGTCTCTTTTAGTCTTACCAGAAAAAAGGAGGAAAAGCTGGACCAGCTCCATGGTGTCTTTGAATTGTTAGCATTAGCAACCCCCTTTCTGGTAGCACCCTAATAATGGAATGGCATTGCACATATACCAGTGTGAAAAAGTAAATATTTCATCTTTTTACCTACCAATCCAGGGGATTAAGAATTTGTAGGTGAATGTTGCCTTGGGGTCTGAAAAATAAAATTGAAAAGATGCTTAAGACAACAAAATTACTCCAAGATGGGGTCAAAGGTAAGCCATGCCCTGTTGTATTGGAGCGGAAAACACAGTGATCCCGGGCAGCCACTCGTGGCCATCTGGCCTGGGATGCACAAGACTGAAGCTCAGTTTTGGCTGCTGATGGCCGCATCAACACCTCACTAAGTTCACTAAGTGGGAAGGTGTTGAACTAGCTATGTTTTACTGTGCCTTTCCATCTTAATTTAATCTTAAATAACAATAAAATAATATCAATTAAACTGAAAACCAGTGTGATGTAGCGGTTAAGAGTGTGGGACTGAGATTCAGGACAAGTGAGTTTTCGTTCCCAATCAGCCATGGAGCTAATTGGGTGATTCGGGGCCAGTCACAGACTCCCAATCTACCTCACAGGGTTGTTGCTGTGAGGACAAGATTGAAAGGAAGATAAGAATT